TTTAATGCCAGCAATTGCTTTGGAGAAGAATGTTCAATTCTTACATTCACCACCGGTTATATTTTAAATAATAGTATCTTAAAGGACAGCAATAAGTGCCTAAGTGTTGTAGGACAAAGCATTCACACACTGATAGTGTCCACTGGCTTGACAGCATGGCCAAAGTTCCTGTTCTTAATGGACACCTTTCCCCACTCACAGGGTCATCTCTACTCTTGTAAAGCATATTTTTCTTCTATTAACTTCTCCTAATGTTCACAGCAGCTGCACAGAATCTTGGAGAGAAAGGATTCAACATTTTAGACAGAAAAAACATCAGTAAGGACATGCACAAATAACAGGAGCATCATAAGTGGTGCAAATAATTTCACATAGAATAGAAGAGACTAAAGGTACAAAGAGGAAAGAGATGCCTTGAATGCACCATAAGATAAAGGGGAAAAAACCCAACTGAATGAGTTTTTTTACACAGGATTCTTTTTACAAAGCCACAGTTAGATAAGCATCTAACAAGAACACATCTACATCCTCAGCAAACTTCTGGTTTTTTGTTCTGAGAAGCCCAAATGGTTTTGATTACTCAGAAGAGTATTTCTTGAATGAGTCAGCTCCCAACACTGAAGCTCATCAGCAGAACAGTCATCGAGGGAGGAGGGCACACCAGCCCTGCCAGTGCCAGCACCCCAGCTCAGCTGGGGAACTCCAGTGACAAAAGCACCATCGCCTACAACATCCTGCCCCAGAACAGGCAGACCCATTCCATACCATTAATCACAAAAATTAACACTGGGAATAATTAGACATTATCGGAGTCCAGGACATCCCCCTGTCTGCCCTGGCTGTCTCCAAACCCTGGCACAAAGTAAAAAAACACCTGTGGCTTTGATTTTAGCCCATGGAAAAAGCTGCCAATTTTGTATGAGGAATTACAAGCCACAGTGGTTTGAGTAATGTGATAATTGAATTAACACAGATGAAAAAGTAGAATTTTGGGATTTTTAGACTAGGATTGAGGGGTCAAGATGGAGGAATTTGGTCATGCCCTGACCTTCTTCTCCTTCTTCTTGTCCTCCATGTCTTGGTGTGATGGTGGCACTTTTCTATTGGTTTAAGGTACAGACACACTGCCTAACATAAATGATAGATATTGGCACATTATTGCAAACATAATACATGTAGCTTTTAGTATATAATGTAAACGCCACCTGAGACTGGGGACAGAATGCCACGGCCGACCTGCTCGACAGAACTCAACAGGTCAGAGAAAATGTTATAGATAAGGAAGAATAAACAACCTTGAGAAGCTGATCCTAGGCATTCAGACTCCTTCTTTGGCTGCACAGGCTAGGAAACAAGGACTTCTACACTCTTGGGGTCATCCTGACACCCCAGACCCCAAGAAGACATCACATCTTTTACCTGAAGACTCAAAAAGGAGTTTCCTGATTTGGGTAAGCCCCTTACTACTTCTGGTTTTCCCCAATCTTGTGCAATGATTGTCATATTAATTTTACACAACAGCTTCTCAAAAGAACAAGTATGAGTAGACACAGGTCCTCTAGAGCTACCATCACTTAAGGTACAACCATCTGCATCAGCATCTCACACTGTGATCTCCTCCTAAGGCCCTGACTCTGAAGCTGCTCATTTTTGGGCTACAGCAAGGCAAATTAGGCTCTGCTCAGATTACCAGCAGTGTTCTGAGCACTGACAGATGCAACACTCAACACTGAGAGGCATCTTTAAAGGCCTGGAATATTATGCTCTGTGAAGAAGCATACATTATACAAGGGAGGGTCAGTCAGAAAGCCCTGGATCCAGCAGATGTTTCAGTTGAATATTTCTGTAGGCTTTTGTTTCAAGTATTGGTTTGGTTTTTGTTTAAAAACCAGTTTACATATTTACAAAAATACGTCCACACCAATGAAAAAGCACTGGAATTACTACTAACTGTCACTATGATGGGTAGTAGAAACATACTGAGTTCTGTGGCAATTATAAAGGTGTGCTAAAAATAATTTCAAACCTGTCCATCCAGTGGCCAGCCTAACAGAAAAGATAAAGAAAAGCAAAGACTGAAGTGAAACACACTCAGGACACACACCTACTTATTGTGACTGTGCTGTGCCTATTCCACATTTCTGTTCCACTACAAGTGATGTGGCCAGTCCCAATTTAGGAGGTCTTTGGCAAACACTAACACACAATTGTGTCAATACTGAAAATAACACTATAAATAACACCGTAAATACTTTGCCAAAACATCCATGAATACACACGTGCAGAGAATTCCCCCTAGAACTGTCATTTGAGCTTCTTAAAAATCCTAAAAAGAACAACTAGGAGATGTCAGTCTCTGTTCAGTTTTGCTGTTCCTATTTAAAGACAAGCTAGTCTTATGTTTTCAGCATTTGCTCACTTTTGAATTTGGTTTAAAGAGCTGCTAGCAGAGACATAATGAAGTTTCTTCCAAAGGGCTGATTGTGTTTCCTGCTGTCTTTTTGACAGAACCCATTCAAAATGGGCCTTCTTCATTTAATTATCTAGTCTTTACTTTTGCAAGTTTTATTTCTGAACTAGAATAAACGTTATAGTCAGAATTTGTGTCTGTAGACAACAGGGTTATTTTACAAGGCTTAAAATCCTTTCCTTTCCAGTGGAAGGAGAAGTGTGGTGCAGCTCTGTGCACAAGGCACTGGAGCTCGCAGGAACCTTTAGGGATGTGGGTACCTCACACAAATGTTACAGGTCTTAGGGTGTTCAACACCTGATCAATGAATGAAGTTTCTCCTCTCTAAACTCTTGTGCCTGAGAGGATCAATATGACCAGGCAGCACAGGGTAATGCTACAAATCACTAATAAAACCAGGAAAAATTCCTGATCTCCAGAGCTTACACCAGACCCTAGACCATTCACCCTCTGAGCAGCAGAAGGGTTTCCTACAGGCTACTGAGGAATTACTCTAAAATCACAGCATAGGACAGATATAGCCTGTGGAAGATGGATATTTGAGGGCTCTTTGCAACATGGCTGTGCCCTTTTTCCACCCCCATGCAGGAAAAACACAACTGGCCGCCTGCTTTTGGACCTCTCCACCCTCAACTCCGGATTTATTACAGAAATCTTAAGCCTAAAAATACAAAAGCTCTGCAAACAGGAAGGCACAGCCATAAAAAGAGAGAGGCCTATGCTGCTGTAAATCAGCTCTACTCAACTGAAATCAATACAAAGCCATGGATCAGCCTAACACACATGGTCTATGCTGGGGCTCAGCAGAAGCTGCCCACTGACGGCTGTCAGGGGCTATCCTGGTCTTGTTTACTCCTGTTGGCAAAGTCCCTTGGAAGAACCTCCAGACTCACCAGCCCTCAGCCCAGCAGAGCCTCCTTCCCTGCCCATAATTGCTGGGGCTGGGCCAGCAGCTGTTGTACAAATAACTGGAGGGGAGCTAGCCTGACCATCTGAGGATTGGGAAGGGAAGCAGCCTACCAGATAATGTCTGTGAAAGAGCTTGGAAACCACTGACACAGGCTAATTGCTTACTGCAGAGTGAAGTTTCCCCTCTCTGTAGGCTCATTTGATGTAAACTTCCTAGGCATGTCCAAAACCCTACCCACAGGACAAACGTTAGTACATGAAGAGCTTAGCCAAGCCCTGCTCAGCGTTCCTGGGAAATATTCTGGGGAATGAAGAAGCAAGGAGAAAGAAACAGATAACATGATCATCCTCCTCACTGTGCTCAACTAGAGAAACAAACATCTGTCTGGTATCTGGGCTCTGCCACCCACCATTTATTCCCACTTTCAACCTAAACACAGAAGCTCATCTTTTTCATTACCTATGGTCCCTTCAGTGAGCAAGAATGAACAAAATGGCATTAGATAAGAGATGCTGAACCGGCTGAAAATCAAAAGTGGTCATTTGTCCTACATTACTGAAATGTTTAGATTTATTTTACTTGCCTGACCCCATTTGCAAATGAGATAGATTGTATTTTGAGATCTAATAGAGATAATTTGTATACGTTGATGGTAAAAACCTCTACACTTACCGATTATCATTCATTCCCAATGAAATAAATGTTCTGGATAAAAGAGGGGTGTTGGCAGTCAAAAAGTAACAGTTGCATATTTATATCAGCATTCAGACCTCTTAGAAAGTAATGATTTTCCTTCAGCTAAAACTAGCCCTGTACAACAACCCTCTTGGACAAGCAAGTAATGTCTGAAACATATCTCAGATCTTCCAGAAAAGCACACACAAGTCCAATATAATGCTTAAAATCTTCATAAAAACGTTTTAGATACTGGATATCTTCCACAGAGTCAACATCACTATTGGCACCATTCCTAGAACATAGCAACCACCAAATCAAAGACTGAAGTGTATTTTAATTTGTGGTATTTCAAAATTGTGCAGGTACATGAGCTCTTCCATAAGACTTTATGAAAGAAGTGGGACAAACAATAAAATACCCTTCCAGTATTTCATCTTTCCAGCACCATACACATCCTGGCTCGATACGCTGACAAGTCTCATTGTTGTCATTATACACTACCACAAAAATACAGGCATAGAAACAAATGTAAAAATTGTGTTGGTTTTTTTACTCTGAATATGTGCTTACAGTCTTCCTAGAAGGCCCAAAATGGTAAGCAGATGGTAAACTTGGGAATGCAGTGATTAGACCAAAAGAGCAAAGAAAAGTTTGGGAGTATGCCTGACCAAGGGCATGTCAAGAGATGAAAACAAGACTGAAAGAAGGAGGAGAATAATAACGTAAATGGCAGAAATGCAAGAAAGGCAGGCCTGTGTACAGGGGGAATTTGCAAGGAAGGCAGAAGAAAGAAAATACACTGTAAAACTAATTTAAACTGAGCACAGTAGTAATAAAAAGCAAGTAAACAATTTGATTGTGGAGACATTTCATGTTTTAGTGCTCTGAAGAAGACAAGTCACTCACCCGAGTACGCCCAGTAAGGATCCCCTGAAGCCTTTCTCCTGCGGATCTGCACAGAACTCCCATGTCTGTTCTCATGCAGAGAGCCCACGTAACCTTCGGTCAGAGCTGGCAAGGAAAGAAGCAGGAATCGTTAAAAAAGTGCTTTTGGCTCCCTGGAGTTTGCAGAGTGAAGCTTCAATCTTTGCTGAGCAGAGACTACAAACTAGGGATTGCTTAAAAGAATTTAACAGGCTGAAACATCCAAAGGAGAAGCCAGGACTCGCTGATGGTCTGGATTCCTGTGCAACTCCAGTAATTTCCATAAGGAAATTCTGATGTACACAAACCAACAATATGAGCCTTGACATATAACCAAACTTTCACTGCTTAGACCTAGAAGATAAGTTTACTTTACCAATGACTACCAAAGTATGTCTGTCAAAATACCCAGTGTGCCATACCAATGGCTTACAGAGTGAAAAGGAGAGAACAGGAATGGAGAAATCTTTGTAAAACTCCACAAGCTACAAGGTGTTAAATTCAAGTAAACCAGAAAAAAACTCACATCCCACATTCCATCCCAGGATTTTTTCTTTTATGCCTCAAATAATTTTTGTTTGACTTTGTAAAGGAATGAATTCCTTTCATGATGATGTGGGGTATTTGGGCTTTTTATGTGCACATTTGACTTATTGTTTCTATGCATCTGATTGAACCAAAGTGGAGGTGTGTAAATTCACAAACGTCAGTAGAAAGTCTGTAATAAATTCAGCTACATTTTTCAGAGCACCATAATAAATGCACACAAACAAAAACCACCTTAGATCCATAGACATGGAATGTGAGGAACAAGTATGCACCAAATGGCTTTATAGAAATTTAAGCCCAACTTGTCCCAAACCACTTATTTGATCAGTACAAAACTAGCTGAATAATTCAAATTAAAGCTTCAGAAAACCCCATGAAGCACTGCTACCCATATGCAGTCACCAAATGCTGCATTCCATTCTATTCCCAGGCCAATTACAGCTGGGCTGGAGAGAAGCCTGGAACAGGACTTTATTGAACATCATGCACCAGTAACTCAGAATTTGCCTTTCTTTCCCTTTGGAAAAGCTTCTGGGAGGCTCTCAGCAGCAGAGAGCCTGCTGTGCCCGAGGTTATCCACAAATGCTACACAGCTCTGTGGACAACCTTCCCTCTGCAATGTGGATTTCTGCACCGTTTGGAACCCTGAAGTGGTAGGAAAGGTTGTGCAATTTCAGGAAAAGCAGTGCAGGTTTGCCCCTGCCAAATCATCTCTTGTGCAAGCAAAGGTACTAATTGTGCCATTTGAATGAGTTTTCCGGATTCCTTGGCAACATTCTAAATGTTAATTTCACTCTAGGCTGCGAACTAGAAACACTGGAACACATCATCATGCTACCAGGATTTGCAGGCAACACGACCCCACATACTTTGTTTTCCTCTCTAAAAATACTAAATTAAACATCTTACTTCAGTCTTTTTTTTTTCTTCTTTTTATTTACTTTTATACGTCTATGTGGTTTGGAGTTAACAGGCACTCATTTCAGCAGGAAAGAATGGGTGTGGGATGTGGAAACCCAAACATTCTTGGCAAAAAAATATGAAATTGAACAAAGATAAGAGACCATGAAAAGCCCAAGGAAGAGAACAATGAAATAGCCTAGGCAGATGGCTGGAAAGGCTATCAGAAAAAGATGGCCCACTTATTCACCTAAAAATCACATGTGCTGACAAATACACCTAAAGCCTCTCCTTGCTACACAATGAAAGACAGCAGCTTTCTCCTAAGCATTCCCAACAGAGAAGGGATTTTTCTTGCTGAAAAAGTCTGAACCTTTCAGGCAGGAGGAAGACTGGACACTGTCTTCTCCAAAGAACAAGGTGCTCCTGCAGGTATCTGAGCAAGCCCTCCTGGGTGCCTTTATACCCAGAGAAAGGCACTGAGTCTAAATAATCTGTATTTGTTTAAGGTACGGGGGGTCTGAGTCAGTGCAAAACATCTCAGGTTGTAAACACCTCTGTACTTCTAGCTGGAACCATCAAAAATCCTCATGGTAACCATGGTATGGCCATGAATCATGCCCCTAATTTTCAGTGTCTTCTGTGCAGAAAATTAAATTATGCAAATCCAAGCCTTTATGAATGCCTAACTTTAATGTGAAATTGAAGATTTGCTTCTGTCAGCATGTTATTCGTGCAATTATAAACCTGATATTCTTATAAAAATATGCAGTTTTAGTGTTCTGCATAGATACTTAAGATATTTGTGCACTTATCTGTATTTATAAAAGATGAAGACACATGCTCTACACAAATTTATTTCCACCATAAAAGATGTTACAAACCAGGAGACAGCTCAAGTACTTTGCAAGAGAACTAGGGGAAGAGACTTGCAGGTTGCTGAACAGCTTATGTAGGATTGAAAAAGAAACAAACTGGAACATCCTGTTCTAAATAACATCCTGCACCACTGCTAGATAACCCAACATTAATGTCAATAATAATTTTTTTATAAACATGCAGCAATTCACTGGTTATCAGCAATTGAGAGAAGATATACACTTATTGGGTAGCTGCAGATACTCTGGGAAAAGGATGATAGCTCAGGATCTCTGGCCATGCTGTGAACTGGAAAGGAAATGGTCTGGCTCTTGCAAAAATCACACCACAACACCTCCTTCCTCCCTCAGCCTGTTCACAGTACAACCAGGCATTTCTTCATGGGGCCACAGAAACACAAGAAAACACAAGTATTGTTGTGCTAGTGAACAAACAGATATTGCTGGCCATATCTCATAGTGGTAAATTAATCAGAAAACGAGACTTAATCTCGTGGTGCTTCTGTTCTTTGGTGTTAATTGGGGTCAGTGGACTCTCTCATCCTCGGGAGGTGCAAGGTACAGAGCAGAGCATACGGTGTCTTTGCAGATAAAAGTCTGGAAGAACCAAAGCATTCAAATTCTTTCAATAAAGCAAGTGCTTCACACATCCAAACAATCTTATGTTTCAGGTGGAATCACTACTTTTTCCACATTTTGGGGAGGAGGTGGGGATGTGCCTTCTGACCAAAACAACATGACAACACTAATGAAAGTTGAAGTTTTCGAGAAAATATTTAGGTTATACTAACACAAATCACTACAGGATTCCAAAAGTCTTTTTTCAGCTGGGGGATAGTTAACAGCTCCAGAACAGGGAGCAGCCAAGTGGCTTCCTGCTCCACTTCTGTAGAGCTGGATGCTGCAGAAAAGCCAACAATTAAATTAGACAGGCTGGTCTGACCAGGAGCAAACAGAAGAAGCTCCTCTCTTCTGGAGCCCTGCAAAACTTGGGGAAGTGGAAATTGGGACAATAGGAGGGGCAGGAACATGCTCCAGGAAGGCTCAACGTGGAGCAGCCAAATTAGACGGGTGGAATAGAGGGACACAGAGCAGGAGGGGGAGATGAAGAGAAGGCACAGCAGAAGCACTTGCCTTGCAAGTTTCCTTTGATCCATCAAACCAGTGCTGATGGCAGAGGGGAAACGCACACCATAACATATGGTCTGAGGCTTGTAGATACACGATTAAAAGAGAAAGGGAGAGATTGCACACTCAGATGCACAAGTGTGAAATTAAATCCTGAGCAGCTCCCCTGGCTGCCGGTGTGTGCCGGGCATAACCTGCAGCCTGTGGAGCTGTGCTGGGCCCTGCTTCTGCCAGGAGGAGAGGATCCTTCAAAGCCAACATGGAGAAATCCCTTACACACCATTTCATGTCATTTTATGCAGCACTGAATGCTACATGATTTTCGATGATGTGCTAAATGAATCAGCCTGGGCCACAGATCTGCAGACGGCAGAAGCAATGCAGTGCTGGCTACACGCAGCATCCCGAGCAGCTCTCCATTCACTCTGCCTCAGCATATTAACTTTCCAATAAAAATTATTTGATAAGTGCCCTCAAAGGTACGATAAGGTAATTCCTGCCTGAGTACCTTACCGGTATTCATAGCTCATATGAAAACACAAAATTTTATCCCCAATCTACCTTAAATATAAAGCTATTACACTATTCAGAGAGATGATACCCTTGGCGTTGGTGTTTAAAAGGTATCAAGCCATCAGCTATGAAAGAAAAATCCTTTAAGATCGATACATTATGTCTGAATGGTGAAATCATTAGTTATAATGGTGGATTGACTAGATTGTGTGCCACACTCACATTCTTCTAAGCTTTCTTTGAAGACAAGGCCTGCACACAAGTCTGTTCTCAGATTAAAATGGGACAAATTCAAAGGTACACACACTGTCCACCTCATAATCATTCTGACTTGCCACCGTGGACTACAGTAGCAGGTGAATCAAAGTTTTATTCCTAGTCCCTAATGTGTATGAACTTCTTAACTGAGTAGTTCAACACGGAGCTACAAGCCAGCCTTTGGAGACAGAGCCTTGTCTACTGGAGTCTGGAATAGTGTCACACTATGAGAACACTTCAAGCAGGGGAGTTAAAGATCTTGTTAGTGTGTAACAAAAAAAGCACTAAATCATAAGGTATTCTAGCAATTAGTTCTGTATCAAATCAATGCCTGCAGAAAAGCAACTTTTCAAAACTAAGAAAACCATTCTTTTCTTAAAGACTGCACAGCACTGCATTTTAAAAAGGCATGAAAGCACAGAGACATTACTTGAAGGGCTTTTATACCATCTCTTAAATGGAGATAAAGAGATGAGTGATCCAAGACACCCATCTGCAAGCCTAAAGCTTCATGCAAGCCTCACCAGAAAAAAGGCAGCACCTTTATCTAAGTGCCTTCACTGTATTTTAATTGGACTGTGCTAAAGAGAAGCAGGTAAGCTGGAGACATTGCAATGCTATGCACTGTAACACACACTGCTGAAATGAGTTCAGGCTTCCAGGCAATTCCTTAGAATAAATGTTGCCAAATGAGCCAGAAGGAAAGAAGAAAGGAAGGGAGAGGAAACTGATAGATAATAAATTTATAATATTGGGCAATTAAAATATTTTGCACAATTAGTATAAATAATACTTAAATTCATCTCCCTAGGCTCTTTCATGGTCAAATTCCTAAACACAACTAGGCTATTTGCCTTAAAT